TCTACAGCTTCCCAGTTGAAAATCTGTTTGAATTTGTTGAAGAAATTGTCTTCTGACTGTCAGTTAACATTGTCATTGATGCTTACTGTTTGCCCTACATGGTAGTTTTCACAATCCTTGCATTATGTGTTATAAATGACCTGTTTTGTCTTTCTTGGCTGTTGGGTCATTGGATTTTCTTAGGATAATTTGGATAGATTTTTTTAGATTATGGGCTCCCTTAATACCAAGGGGTTGTAGTAATCTCTTGGTAGTTTCTGAGATGTTTTCGATGTATGGAAGAGTTGCCCCCATCATGGGATGGGCTGTTGATTGAATAAACACTTTTTGATGAAGTTGCATAGGTATCCATTATGCTGGAATATGTTATATAGATAGTCTATTTCTGGTTTTTGGGGGGGGGAGTTCTAGTAATTGCAGTGTCTTTTTGCTTGTCTGATTAAGGCTATTACACAACTTTTGTGTGTTGTTGGTTGTTGCTGTGATATTTGAATACTTGATTGGTGTGGATTACTTTTCGATATACTTGGGTTTGTAGTTTGCCATTGTTTTCTCTACTAATGAGATGTATACACTGAGTTGTAAAAGCTAGGGCTCCTTTTGCAGCCTTTTACTTTCTGTAAGTAATGACTTGGTCTTTTTTCCCCCTTATCTCTTTATAGCACATTCATAATAGAAAAGCAGCCTCCCCAGGTGCTGAAGACTCAGACCAAGTTTGCAGCAACAGTACGACTGTTGGTTGGAGGAAAGTTAAATGTTCACATGAACCCCCCACAAGTAAAAGCCACCATCATCAGTGAGCAGCAAGCCAAAGCTCTACTAAAGAATGAGAGTACCCGCAAGTATGTATGTTTCTTAATGCTAAGGAAGCAAAGGAAGGGAGGACAGACATCCATTTCTCCTGAACCAGCTTACCCACCACTTAGTACCCTCTAGATGCGTGGGCTTTCAACCCCAACACATCTGAAGGGTGCTGTGCTAAGAAAGGCTACCAAAAGATGTGAAGGGTAGAAATTAATACATAGAAATATGCCATTAATCTTCTTAAATAAGAACATAGTCATCTTAACGGAAAAGAAAATTGGCAAGGTATCTGTATAAATGGATATTTTTACTGTTTATCCAAGATGCTAAAGTATTAAGGGCAAGAAAGCGTTCTGTCAGCGTCTGAATTTCAGCCTAACCCTCAGAACCTGAAGCCTTAAGGCTTCTTATTTGATTGCTCCTTTGCTGGTCTCACAACCTGGGTGACTAAGCAACTTTCATTACCTATGTCGTTATTACAGTTTGTCAGTGCTTGTTGGAGAAATCTTTCTCCTCAGAAGGTAGAAATTTGGTGAATATTATATGACACGTTATTCCCATTAAGCTTACCTAAAGGATTAGCAAGAGGGCAACAAAGCAAAAAATGACAGCCTAGTTTTAAGTAATTCAGTGTGCATTATGCATTCATTTGCCTGTAGTAGATATCTTATAACTTTAAGAAAGCAGCTTTTATTTAGCCATGATAAACAATCTAGAGTCTCCGCTGGGTGGAGCCACATCATCAGTATCCCCACGGTGCAAAATTAGCACAGTCAGTGGGAAGATAGTAAATCACGGGCGGCATGCTGGCTTGCATTCAACTAGCTGCCATTGCTTTCTTTTGGCAGTGAGAGCAGCGGTGATATCTTGAACAACTCCTGTGTTATGGAATATCATCAGGCAACTGGAACACTGAGCGCTCATTTCCGCAACATGGTGAGAGAGATGTCTTAGTGATTCCCACTGTCTACCTCTAACTCCACATCCCACTGTTGTTTTCCTATTGGAAATGTAACTGAGGGGAAAAGTCTCAACGTCTATTATTGCCACGAAGTATCTCCTAAACACTAACCCTAGACTGAGCTTTTAATAACTTGGTGTGGATGAAGATGGAATATGCGTGTGTGTGTGTGTTTGCCAACCCCTTGTTTATATAAATGTAAGTATTTACAGTGTGCCATTTAGAGTTAGTCAGAATGACTAACAGTAAATAGTCCAGTCATAGAATTCCAATGGGAGTAGGGAATATTATAAAAACAGGCAGATGCAGCAGATAAAATAAAAGTATTGATTAAAATTATACTCTGATTAAACACAAAATGTTTTGTCACATGGCAAAACCATGTAAGAGGGAATGCCAATTCCCAAGCCTTCTCACTAACACTTTAAATTCTGCCAGAAAGAAATTGATAACTAATGCAGCATTGCAGGATATATACTAACCCTGCAACAGTGCACTAGTTATCAGTTTGTTTAATCCTGTAAACAAGCAACTACCAGTGTGTTTTTTTGTTGCATTCTAGACCAGTTGCTGTTTTCAAAGACTTTTCAAGAGCAGCATCAACATAGAGTGCATTGCAGTAATTCAATTTTAAATGCAGCTAAGTTATATTTAAATAACTTTGGCTAGGTCTGGTCTTGCCTAGAACAGTCACAAATGATGCACTGGATTAAGCAGAGCAAAGTACTTCTGCCTATAGCACCAAAAATGTTACTGGACAGAACAATTACACAAAGTAAGTTTCCCCTGGAAGATCTGCCTGAGTGTATGTCTAAGGTTCTTAGACCTGAGTGTTAGGTAGGCTCTTGACAATCTGTGCTCTATTTTCTATTTCCTGTGTCTACCTCATCTCATCCACAGTCCTTGAAGCGGATCAAGCGTTCAGATCGACGTGGTGCTGAGTCAGTAACTGAGGAGAAGTTCACCATTCTTTTTGAGTCTCAGTTCAGTGTTGGTGGCAATGAGCTGGTTTTCCAGGTGAAGACGTTATCTCTGCCTGTGGTGGTAATTGTGCATGGCAGCCAGGATAATAATGCCACTGCCACAGTGCTATGGGACAATGCTTTTGCAGAGCCAGGACGTGTGCCCTTTGCTGTGCCAGACAAGGTGATGTGGTCACAGTTGTGTGAGGCTCTCAACATGAAGTTCAAGTCTGAAGTCCAGAGCAGTCGAGGACTCACAAAGGAGAATCTTCTCTTCCTAGCCCAAAAGCTCTTCAATAGCAGCATCATCCATCTGGAAGATTATAACAGTATGGCTGTCTCCTGGGCTCAGTTCAACAGGGTAAATAAGGAACTGATTAACAACTAGATTTGCCAGAAAACCACTTTGTGGGAAGTACTTTGGCCTGCAGGCCTTCTCCATCACCATAACTTTCTCCCCAGCTTTTTTTTTTTCACTTCATATCTGCATTACCGTCATGTGTTCTGTTTTCCTCCCTGCTCAGCTGCATTTGAGATAGAAATGAGACAATTCAGTTTGCAAATGTAATCCTGAACTGTCTTGGAGCCACACATGCAGCTGATTGATAGCTAGTCATGTGAATGCAAAGATTTATTTCATGCCATTTTCAAAAGAACAGCTATGTGTATAAAACCGTTAGACCATCAGCTGGTTAAAAGAACTTCAGCCTGTTGATGATCTTACTGAGAATCTTTTCTTTATACAGGAAAAGCATTGACATTATAGATACAGCACAAATCTGAACTTAAGTGCTGAGGTTGATATTCTTGCTTTCTCTTAGGTTCTTTGATAATCTTGGCTTCTCAGTCCTTGATCTGTAAAAGGAATAATGTTGATTTACCTCACAGAAGGAATGAGAACAGTAAAGCATTTTACTGTTAAAGTCAGTAATAATCCTAAGTATGCTAGAAGAGTTCATTCATACAACCTGTGAAGTAGGAGCAAATCTGCTTTGACAAGATAAAAACTAAATGAACAAATTCATATATATTACCTTGGCAACAGCTCAGGAATGCTGAATTATTGTTTGTGTAATATAGACTAAAGATGTATTGGAAGTAGTCCCTCACACAGTGAGTTTTGAACTCTGAATTTCTTATCTCAGAGCTCATTCTTAACATTAAAGAGGCTCTCATTAAACTTGGAGATGCTTATTTTCAAGCCAAACTCAGGATTAATTAGTTAATTAAATGTATAAGTGACTCTGAAGGGTGTACAAATTAAAAACAAAAGTCCAGTATGTTGCATCAGTAAATAACAAAATAAAAGATCCCCACAATGAGGTGAAAACAAACATACAGTGGTGCTTAAAAGTTTGTGAACCCTTTTGAACTTTCAATATTTCTGCATAAATATCACCTAAAACGTGATCTGTTCTCCACACAAGTCCTAAAATTAGGTAAAGAGAATCCAGTTAAACAAATGAGTCAAAACATTTGTTTTGTTTATTTATTGAGAAAAATGATCCAAAGCTACATATTTGTGTGTGGCAAAAGTATACAAACCTTTGCTTTCAGTAACTGGTGTGCCCCCCTTGGGCAGCAACAACTGCAACTAAATGTTTCCGATAACAGTTGATCAGTCTTGCACATAGGTTTGGAGGAATGTTAGCCCATTCCTCCTTACAGAACTACTTCAACTCTTTAGTTCATTAGATATACATCAAAATTCCTCTTGAAATAGTTTAAATGCTGGCTTGCTGTCTTAACTTCTTGCATCAGCGCAAATGTATTTGGGGTCTGTATATAAAACATGTACTTCACTACAGACATGAATTTTGTATAACTTAGTCTTAACTGTACAGGCAACTAATTGAATTCCTTTTAAAATCTCCCTTGATTAATCATTCAAATCCACGGAGAACCCAAAGTTATTCCAGCTGTTGTTCCCACCACTTTGGAGTCACTTAAGCTTAAAAAAATGCATATGTGTTTCTGATGAATATGTTTGCCTGTGTACTTTGCTACTAGTCCATGCTTTCTCTAACCTATTAGTGTGTAGAATTAGAGAAAATATAAAGTCCTCCAACCACCACTAGAGGATTCCAGAAATATTTTTTCTTTCTTTCCATTTATCCAGGAAAACCTTCCAGGGCGAAATTATACATTCTGGCAGTGGTTTGATGGGGTAATGGAAGTCCTGAAGAAACACTTGAAGCCTCACTGGAATGATGGGTAAGATTCCTATTTCCTGCTCCCCTTTAACTTACTTTTCCTCTCTAGATTTTTTGTAGGCTGATTTCTCTTTATTGTTTCCATTTCTCCAGGGCTATTCTAGGTTTTGTCAACAAGCAGCAGGCACATGACTTGCTGATCAACAAGCCAGATGGAACCTTCCTCCTGAGGTTCAGTGACTCTGAAATTGGAGGTATCACAATTGCCTGGAAGTTTGATAATAGTAAGTTATCAATGCCTATTTTGACTGCTATGAGAACATTGGCTCAGAATCCTTCTAAACAGATGTTTATGCATTGTTGCATAAACAGTACACAGCTGTTACCCAGTTGCCGCAGGAATTTTGGGCCTCTCCTGCTATATCTCCTGCAATTAACAGTAATATCTTTAAAGTCTGCAGGATAGCTTCTCCATATTGAATATATATTCCCCAGTTCAGTTTTAAAAAAGGGAAACTTCAGCTGCAAAACTATTCTGTAGGCAGAGGAAGATGAGTTAATGAAATTGCATGCAACATCCAAACAGTTAATAGCACAATTGATTAGTGCTGCTGCTGCAGAAAGATGGATCTTGTTTTCTGGAATCTCACTCTTGAAAAGAAATAAGTACTTCAGTACATCATGTGATGAGTGTGCTATCATGTACTGGTTGCATTCACACATAATGCCAATCCGTGGACTCCTTTAACTACAGTTTATTGAAGAACCCACGAGTTTAAATTTGCACATCACACTAAGCTATGCCAAACAAAAGAAGGGACCTTATAATTTAACAAAACATGTGAGAAAACCCTAAATAATTGATCTTTAATTTTTTTTAAAAATTAAATCTCTCTTGCTGTCTGCCCTAGACATTAGGGTTTTTTTCCCTTCCTCTTAGGCAAGGGATCTCATGAATGAAAGAAGTAAGAACTGCCATATTTTCTGATAGGTAGGTGGCAAGGGTGGGTCAAAACAGCTGCCCCAATTTACCACAGCTGTTTTGACCCACCCTTGCCACCTAGCTATCAGAAAATATGGCAGTTCTTGCATTTGCTGAATTTTGGATAGTTGCTATGACCATGTTTAAGAGGATCACAATTCGAATTCACTCCCAGGTATTTGGAGCAGAGGAAGAAAATGCCTTGCATCTTGCACCAGGGTGAATGAGCTTTTTACTTCGTCCTTCTCTCTTTTCACTTTTTAAATGCATTTGTTTTCTCTGTACTTTGTGCATATTTCCATTTATAAGTTTCAACATGACTACATTATGTAGCATCATATTATAATTGTGCTGCATCAGTGATGTTCATAGTTGTTGCAGGTTTCTTATCTTTCTTGGGTAGTGTGTATCTTTTTCTAGTTGGATTATAGAGGTACTACTTTTTCCCCACTTTTATCTAATTATGCTTTGGGGTTTTTGCAGCTGACAGAATGTTCTGGAACTTAATGCCGTTCACCACCCGTGATTTCTCCATCCGGTCCCTGGCAGACCGCCTTGGTGACCTCCCATACCTCCTTTATGTGTACCCTGACAGGCCCAAGGAAGAGGTTTTCTCCAAATATTATATGCCAGTCCTTGGTAAGATTGCAGGAAACTGCCTGATTTTTTCTGATCATTGTCCTTTCCAATGGATACATATATACATAATTTTTTTTGATTTCCAGCAGAGGAACCTAGGCAATTCCAGTCCTTTTTCCTTTGGACATATGAACTGTATTACAATGGTATACATAATTTTAGATACATAGACACATGCCTAGTATTTCAGGAAACTGCCAGAAACATTAAAAAATACACTCTTGAGAAGAGAGGTAAATGCTAATGCAAAGGGGGAAGGAAGTGGTACAGCTAGATTTGAACAGTGTATATCTCAAAAATCCAGAGTCAGTGGTAAAGACAATTAGTTGAAGACAGACATTTTTCATGGCCAGTTTTTTTGTTTGTTTGTTTTTGGTGAGACAGGGCCTTAATTACCAGGTCAGTGACTGTTTTTACAGTTGAATAGTTAAGAAGGATAAAATGTGTTTTTAATTTACTTATTTATTTTGAACAGTTTCAAAAAATACTTACATGCAAATCTTCTGTATGGATTTTTCAAGGAAAGATTTGCAGATTAACAAGGAAAGGGAATGAATGAATGAATATTGTACATGCAAAACAGACATAAACCAGAAATAAAAGATTCATCCATTCCTACTTGGAAAGAGTTTCAGCATGGATACAACGAGAGGAAAAAGAATACAATACCAGACTATTACTATTTCCAGTAGGGATTCCTATGTAAAGCTTGTCTTGTACAGTAACTATATGCTTCCCCCCAACCTCCTTGTTTTGCAGCAAAGGCTGTGGATGGATATGTAAAACCACAGATCAAGCAAGTTGTGCCAGAGTAAGTACTGTGGGTTGAGAAAATACATGTTGATTTTTTAAAGCAAGGAGTCACACAGAAATAAGCAAGGAGTGATAGCTATTTACTTTCAGTTGGAGTTCCTTTTTTCCCCCCAGATCTCTTTTCAGAGTTTTATTCAGCTAGGAGTGGAATAATTGTGCTAGCGCCCCCAACTTCAGTTTTAGATGGTGTACCTCCCAACAGGATTTATGACTTTAAAAACATGAAGCAAGCAATATGAATCAGGTTTCCATTTTGCTAGCTTCAGCACAAAGAGAAGAGATAGGAATGAGAAAGAGTAAAAGTTGATACGGTTAAGGTGTTATAGCTTGATGATTGCACCCTCTAACTAAAAAAGAGTTTGAGTTCTCTGTGCACTTATGTCTTTGCTTTCTGATTCTTTTCAGACCCGGGAGAATGTGGATGTTTCTATCATTGAAGGAATCTTAAATGTGTATTCCTGCTTTCCACAAAATTATCCCCAAATAGTTAATGTTCTTCTTACCACTCAGGAGTCCACTGGTGTCAGGGAAAAATCTATCTCTATTTCTGCCCCATCTGTTGCAGGTTTGCTGCCCCATCAGGAGACTCTGCCAGTGGAGGAACTACCTACATGGAACAAGCATCATCACCAGCTGTTTGCCCTCCTCCTCACTACAACATATACACACAGAAGTAAGTGAGGGAAGATCTTTACTACTGAAAGCTCTCTGCTATTGAAGTTTATTAGATTCTATAGGTGAAACTTATTTCTCACCATAAATATTTGTTTGTATGCTCCTCATCTACTTTAAGGCAGGGATTGCTGTCATACCACTGCCCAGTTAATTGGTGTTGGAAGAGGCTGAGGAGTTCATCAGTCATCTGGATGGGGGATGGAGGGTACATAATTGAATAAGAAGAATGTTATTTGAGAAGAGCCAGTATTGTCCTTGGGTGGTGGTTGTTTTCATCAGAATTACAAAAGCAGTCTCACAGCATTGCGCTGAGTGCCACCCCTTTCTTGATGCACTCAGAAAAGGGATAGGGCTTGCATTGCAATGCTACTTGTGTCACTCTGACAAGCCCCTTGCTCCCTCTGGGGACACCACTATGGAGAGTTCTCCTAAACCACCTCATTTAAATCAGGTCCCACCAACCCACTGAACAGCTGCTTGGGAAACAGTATGTGATCTATGAAAAGGACATAGCTTGGGAAATGTTCCTACATGTCACAGGAAAAGCTCCTCAGATCCCCAATTGATTACTGCCGCTCATGGAGAAAAATGAGGTTGTTCAGTCTTGTAGTGGGTGTTCTATTTTTGAATGTTGTTCCTGTAGGCCAGCAGTCCCCAACCTTTTTGGCACCAGGGACCGGTTTCGTGGAAGACAATTTTTCCATGGACCCGGGGGGATGGTTTCGGGATGATTCAAGTGCATTACATGATAGGGTTTTGATATGAGTCTGCAAGCAATTGATTTATTATGGTCTGTGTGAGTCAAACCTCTCTGTTAATGATAATCTGTATTTGCAGCCGCTCCCCAGCGCTAGCATCTCTGCCTCAGCTCTGCCTCAGATCATCAGGCATTAGATTCTCATAAGGAGTGCGCAACCTAGATCCCTCGCATGCACAGTTCACAGTAGGGTTCGTGCTCCTATGAGAATCTAATGCCACTGATCTGACAGGAGGCAGAGCTCAGGCAGTAATGCGAGCGATGGGGAGCGGCTGTAAATACAGATGAAGCTTCGCTCGCTCGCTCGCCATTCACCTCCTGCTGTGCGGCCTGGTTCCTAACAGGCCACAGACTGGTACTGGTCCATGGCCCGGGGATTGGGGACCCCTGCTATAAACAAAGGAAAAATAAGAAACATGAGGGAGAAAGTGAAGAGGTACAAAAAGCATGGCCCACCAACATCTCCTTTATGATCCCTAGAGCTGCCCCAGAATGTGTGGAGCTAAAATGTGGGCACTTTGGAAGGGGTATTCTGCCACTTTGGGGATGGTTTTAAGGGCTAAAATATGTATCTTAAGCCTTGCAAGTTCTTAAACACCCATTTACTCCTGCAGTGCCCTCCCCAAAGGACCCTGACTTAGTACACTTTTGGAGTGTGTCCTTCACCATTCTACACAAATCCTTCTGCAGTCCTTGAACCAATGAAGGTTCTGCACCTTTGCACTATACCTTTCCACTTCCTATTGAAATAGTTTTTAGTTTACATAGAGATTTTTTAATGCAAAGGATATTTTTTTAAAGTGATCCCATACCCACTTACCTCATACCCGTAGTCAAATAGTAAATCTATTCAATTCAGACCTTTCCCATCTGTTTATGCTGCACATATACTATGTAACATTAACTCTATGGGCAGGGTTAAATTTCACCTTACATATGAAGCAGGGTGCCCCATTTCTCAATATCTCCCCACTGTGAACAAAGGTGAAAACATAAAAAGTCATGTCTATGAAGACTAAAAGATTTAAAGAATTAGGAAAAGACATTTCTCCTCAGTTTAGTGAGGAAGAAGAAAATGAATGAATTTGAGAGGACCTGAATTGCATATTTTTCTGATAAAACCAAATTAACTTTTAGAGCTTCTTCCAAACAGCTCCAAGGACTGTAAGTTTTGAGAAAGCTGAGAACAATTAGAGAGCCACAGTCCCTTCAGAAATAGCTGTCTGGAATTCAGAGCTTTTTCATGGTGCTCCTTTCTCTCTGTCTCAGTCCTGACTCAGTGTTGGATCCAGAAGGAGACTTCGACTTGGATGATTCAATGGATGTGGCACGACACGTGGAGGAACTGCTGAGGCGCCCCATAGACAGCCAGTGGATCTCCCATGCTCAGTCTTGACCCTGCCCCTTCTCTGGAGAGACCACGAGGAGACTGTGAAATATTGGAAGCACTGCCCTGAGGGAGTGTGCAGCTGCTGTAGGGATGGGTTTCCTCACCCTGTGGGGAGGCCTCTGGCTGAGAGGGTGAGGTACCTGAGAGACAGTGGGTGCTGTTTCTCCCCTTGCCCATGTAGAAAAGGCAGTGGAGTGTATCGCTTGGTTTTCCACCTGCTCTTCTGAGAGGCTTGCCTCAGACCTTCCGCTTCTGCACCCCATCTCCTTCTGCCAAGCTGCCATTTCATTTGTGCTGGGAACCCTTCTCTCTCCTCCTCCCAGAATACAACACACTGCCATTCTTGTCTAGAAGCCTCTTGGTGTCTGGGACAAGAGGGGGCTCAGCTGTGGAGGAGAGTAAGCCTTATTCAAAGCCTTGTCATTTGATGTCTGATTTCTTTCTTTTCTTAGCTGCTTCCAGGACAAACAGTATGCGTGTGCCTGCCTTTCACCTGTTTCCAGGGTGCATGTCTGTGCAGCATTCTGTGTAAAAGAGGCATTCACTCTGGGAGCACTGCTACTCTTTGGGCCTCCAGTGCAACACAGCCTGCCCCTGCTCGGTTCCCCTGAGCCTTCTGGAGCCTTTTTTGTATGTCTACAACCCACTTCTAGCTCCTTCAGTTTGCCTTGTTGCAAGATACTTGCTTACCTCCAAGCTCCTGCATTTAGTGCTGTTGGGTTTTGACATGTCAGATGCTTATTTCCTATGAATCACAAATTCCGCAGATTGTGGAGGATGCTTTCATTAAAATACATGGCAAAATACAGAATTCAATTGGAATAATGGTTTCCCCCTTTTTGAATTGGGGGTAAGGATTGGGGAGCAGGTCAACGGATTTGACTGCTAAATACAGAGGAAAAAGGATGTTCTGAGTTCTAAATGCACCAACAAAGTCTTCTGTTTCTCTTCTGTCCCCCCAACTCCTGCCTCCTCATTAGGCTGAACAACTGGGAAGAACAGATTCATATATGCACTATTTTTATACCTACTATTCAATAAAGCTCAGATTATTTTAACAGTTACAGATTTCTCACATATGTTTGTGGGCCGGGTGCTATATTTAGAAAAATGGTCCAGTTTCCAATCCAGCCACAGTTATATTTTTGTTGGGATTGACAAATTACCCGTGGGATAAGTCATGTGGGTTGGGGGAGAAATGGTCCTTGGGTTGTGCTGAAACGTGTAAGAATTAGGTCCTAGTTTTGCTGGGTTTCTCCTCTCCTGTTCATAGGAAACAAGCAGAAATATTTTTCAGGGAGCTAAGTCAAAAATGTAGACATTGGATAGTGTATCTAAACAAATCTTTGGAACGGAGGGGCTTGCCCACTCTTTACTCCTCAGGGAGTCCCCCAACTGCTGATTGAGCTAGGAAAAGGCATGTTATATGCACTTTGCCCTGGCAGTAACTCCTATAACAACCAGTTGAAGGTTAGAAAAGGTATGTCTTTAGGTAAACACAGTCTAGTCATTTGGAGGTCATCCTTAAAGGCCAGCTATTGTTGAACCATTTTTTTGCTTTCTGCTAATACTCTGTTCTCAGACAGATCATTCCCAGGAATAACTGTATGATATTCTTTGGGAGAGCATATTCATTATAATGGAATCATCATTCAATGCACGAGTAACTTCTGTCTTTGGGAAAGAGATTTTTCCCCTTTCATAGCGTTTCTGTTTCAGATCTTTTGGTGGTGGATTAGTTACTTCACTACGGTAACTTGCCTCTGCTGGCTAATACCTGTGATGTGAGCAGGAGGCATATCACCAATTGCTCTCCTGACTCCCTGCATTGTTTTGAAAAATTGGTAGTTTAAAAAAACAAGTTTTCTTTTCCTTTTTCTTCTGAGGTCAAGTAGTCACCTTGGCCAATGCACAAACGTAGTTTTTAAAGATCCCTTCTTACCATAATAACTCTATCCCCATCTTCTTTCACTGCACAGATACACAGACTTTGCTGTGGAGAGTCAGCAGTAGTGGAGCACTTAAAGTATCTTTAGAATAGTCACAGGAGAATCCTGAGGAAATGTGCATGGGACTGTACAGATGTTATTCTGCAGTAGCAATTTAGCCTCTGGCACAAATGAAATCTCTGAACCTTATTTACATTAATTTCAAATTTTTCATTCATAGTTTTGAAATCCTCTTGATAATTGACTTCTCTCTCTCATTGCTGGTTAGTCTTTTCATTACCTCCACTTTTTTTTCCAATCTTACTTCCTATCAGGTCCTGTCATTTTCTGTTTACCGGAGTTGTTATTGGAATGCCTGTGGGCAACAGTGCTTCTCAAATACCACTTTCAAAACTGGGGTAGGATGTTAATAGGAAGTATCATTTATACCCAGTTCAAAAACTTCTCAGATCCTAGGCCAAACTAGTGCCTAGCAGATGTATTGGACACTAACACTTATCACTCCAACTAGCAGTTTATAGGGAAGGCTGATCTAACCTCAACTTCCTTATTTTATCATCCTTATATGTTAGCTGATTTTTTTTCAAACTAGTTCCCTGTCTCAAGATCCTTTTGAGGTTGCACACAATCATTCCCACTGTCTTTAAAGAAAACATTAATTTATAACTACGTAGGTATTGTATCAGCACAATCTTACATATATCTATCCTTAAGTTAACTGTCAATGGGATTCACTTCCTAGTAAAAATGCAGAGCGGAGGTGGCAAATCTGTAGCCTCCCAGATTTTCTGGACTGCAGTTTCCAGCATTCCTGAACCAGCATAATCAGTGGGAAGAGAAGGCTGAAACTTGTAGTTTTCAACAACTAGAGGGTCCTAGATTCCCATCTGTGGTATATAAATTGCAGACAAAGAATTGGTATCCTTAATGGCATACCATATTTTGTACAGTATGTTCTAGGTCTTAAATCTGATTTTTAAATGTTGAAAAGGTGGGCTAGGTTGAAATACTGAAAAAAAATCCATTGAAATGAAAAAAAAAATGGATGCCTGATCAAGTGGAATTATTTGGCTGTGCAGCATAGCTTTCCTCAGTCTGACTCCTAGATATCTTGGGATGGCAGCATCCAGGATGTGCTATCCAGGGAAAGGCTGATTTAACTCAGTATTAAATGGGTTTGCAAATTGTGCAAGCTAGAGTTTATTTTAATCAGAAGCCATAGTGGCTTGGTTCATACACAATGTTAAGCCATAAACTATGGCTTACAAATCATAATGTGAAGTTTACACTTGTGCAAAGCCAAAATCAACCAGATTATGATTTAGCACAATGTGTGAGCCTAGCCTTAACCTCTCTGCTGGTTCTGCTGTGTCTCCAGCAGAAAACTGTCTCCAATAGAAGAGTCTCTATTTCAGGGATTAAATTTGGAACTTCTGCACAAAAAGCATACATTCTACTCCTGAGTTAGGCCCTTTCCTGATCATAGGGGCATTTTCCAGATAATGATATTTTAATTTGCATTGTTTGAAGACTAGCAATTTAGTACCTGTAACTACCAATATGCTTGTCAATCTCTCCCCTGGTGACCATTAAACTTACTGTGCCATCTGACATTTAATTTATTGTAAAAAGAAAGAGAATAAGACACTAGAGTTCTGCAAAGTGTCATCCTCTAGCATTATCTTTATTGCTGGAAGTAATTCTGAGCTCACGTGGCCACAGAGACATTCTTAAAAATGGTGAGTGGCTGGCCCCAGTGCTCTGGAAATATGTACATCTCCCCAGAAAAAAAAAAAATAGCTAAGGTTGCTAGACGATCAGATAGCACAATTACCACTTAGCCTTGTGTAGATGAGTATTTCTGAGAGGCCACCATGGCAGCTGTTTCATACATGAGCAAGCCTATTTTGCATCTACCTTGCTGAGCCTGCTCACAATGGGCTTCAAAATCTCACACATCTACAGAGGTTCCCTGCTGCCCCTGGTTTACATGACATTTAGAAACCTGAGATTTTATTGAGCCCTTTCCTCCATAACAAACAACAATCCCCACCTTGGGCAAGTTGTGTGTGAATGCCTTGGTTGCTGTTCAAGAGCAGCAGATAGAACTGACCCACAGGGATGTTTTCTGCTAATTAGTTTGGTAAGCCCACTTGAAATGAAAAGAGATCTGCAACAAAAATATGTTGACTTGCACAGGAAATGTTTTCAATGGGTGGCATTTCTGTTACTAAATCTGAGTAATGAAATGCTATTAGATTTTTCACCTGGTAAATTAAAATGTCTTCTGTCTAGCCCCTTTCAGTTACAAGGAAAAGACCCACTGTTTCCAGATGCAGTTCTCAGCTTCTTCCAGCGTGGCTGAGAAAGTTTACTGTCTTGAAAGCCTACAGCAGTGTTTCTCAACCTTGGCCACTAGAAGATGTGTGGACTTCAATTCTGGGAGTTGGTCCACACATCTTCAAGTGGCCAAGGTTGAGAAACACTGGCCTACAGGGTATTACTAGAGAAAACTAAAAACTGAACTATAGACCAATGAGCTGATTCAATATGTTTTTGACCAGGGAGGAGCACAGAGACACAGGTTCTAGTCCTGCCTTAGGCACAGAAACTAGAGCAGGTTTATCTTCAATGAAACAAGAACATATACTTAACATACACTGCAAGAGGCTGAAATTGGGCAAATTATGAGGTGCTTTATATCTAATTAAGAAACAAGCATAAATTGACACCATTGGACAGCAGGACACAGTGGCCTTTTCTCTTCTCTTTTGCATGAAACAGCCTTTCTTAACCTGGAATTCTCTCAGATTTGTTGGCCTAAAGCTTCTCTCATCCCAAGCCAATGGCCGTAATATGTGGGAATGACAGAATTATAATCTATTTTATGGGCAGCAGGCTTGAGAAGACTGGCACAAATGCTATAATCTCCTAGACATATGTTCTTTGACCATGAATAGGCTCGTTTAATGTATGGTGCTTCTGTTTAATTCAGTGAAAATTGCACACACATTCTTGGTGGACTATGCCTGCTTCATTTTCACTAGTCCAAATGGGTCTGTCCAAGCAACTGTTAAAAATGTGGCCTATCGTTTCAGAATGTGGGAGGTAGAGATATCCATAAAACTGAGACATACCATACAAACATTGCACTATTTTAAAGAATTATTTTGCCAAATGCTTAAATGGTATACAAAGTAAAATTTTCTGCTAAATATATTGTTTGTGTTTGAAAAAAACTTATGAAGCTGTGTTCATTTTTGTTTTAAACTGTAAAAGAAAGAACAACCTCAAGCTATATAGCTTAAAATGCCTTTAAGTTTTTATTTGACACAAAAGCCATTTATGTGAAAAGAACTTATTTTGATGAAATATCCATGTTTTGAAAAATGTTGTAACCTTGTGCTACAATAAAGTGTTGTCTGCAGTTGGCAGGGTAGTAATGGCTAATGTGGTTTTTAGCTTAAAGGTGTCTAGCACGCTCGGGGGGGGGGGGATTGTGCCTATAACTGAATAGATGCAATAACAATTTGGCTGAAATACTCTCAATAAGAAACATGAGCTGTACAGTTTATATGCTAATAAATATCTGCAAAAGGAGCCTTTGGGGCAAATGGGAGACACGATGAGGCAGATCTCTATAGGTGTTACATCTCATCAGTGGTGGCTGCTTCACTCATGGAACATGTGATACATTTCAACCAATGCAATTTTTAATTTTTTTTTCTCCCTGAGTAATTTTAATACAGGCCTTTTGGCAATTCCGACTTTTGTGTATTATAAAGTACAGTGTATTATAAAGTTGTGCCACTATTAGTCTTATCTGTGGAGTACTACTTAAAAAAAAACCAAACAATATGGCCCTGTTTTCCCAAACAGCAACTGCATTTTTTGAAAATGAGCACCACGGTGCCTTGTGAATGAAAGATGTGCTAATACATATTGTGTCACACGGAAGGCGTTTAAGGAACTTCTACTGAAACTATTACCTTTTAATATATTTTTGCTTTTTAGCAATTTAGTCCTTTATATGTGTACTAAAAAGTCAGATACGTTGAGTTCAGAAAAATGGGTGCCTAGGTGCATTATAGGATTGTGATTTAAGGCAATAATTCAGACAATTCTGTAATGCTACAGGGTACAATGGCTTACTTTTGAATAGCCCTGCATAGATTTGTGCAGCTTATTAAACCTGTGTGACCCCTTCTATGTTTTATGTGCAATCTTCCAGTTCACTATTCAGTTGTCACCAATTTTCAGTAAGTTAAATGTAAAATAGATAAGGGAGAGGAAAACATTCAACTTAGGAAAAAATGAATGAGGTTTTATAAATTGGGATTAATTGGTTTATAAATGGGGCATTTATATTGAACATGTCCTGGCTCACACCCACTTTCCTCTTGTTCCACCCCATATAGCCCACACATTCTACAAGATTCATCGGTGGCCCTTGTTCTGCTTTACGACAGCACTATGACTTTCCATCAGAGTGACTATATCACTCTTAAATGGATCATTTTGTAATTTAAAATGATGGGAGAAGCAGTGGTTAAAAATGGAAGACTATAACCTTTGGATTCTTTACCTACACAGACATATAGCTGTGTGCGTGTGTTCTCTCTCTGTTTCTCTCATTTGCTTACAACAAAGATGGACAACCTTGGCCTAATTTTATGCAGTCCTGGGCCTGGTTTTATAAATTTTGCAGATAAATTCAGACCTCTAGTTATTTTGTGGGAGAGAGAATACAGGGTGTCAGATAAGGAAAAGAAAAGGTGTTGCCTCCCACCCCAGAAAAAAGAGGAAGAAGAGAAAATAGATTTCTCCATCCACTTTGTTCAATTTACAATATTTATTTTTTAACAAAACAATATTTAATCTTAACAAAAGAAAATTTTAAAAAAATTAAAAGTACAAACTAAAAATACAAACTAAGAAGGAAAAAAAGGGAAAATCTATTTTATAATTTATACTTATCAATAGTCACTGGCTTATCAATGAATTTACTACTATAATACGAACAATACAATATATTATTGTAAGATATCACAGAATCTCTGCCACAGAATATAGATTTTTTATCCTGCCTTTCTTATTTTTATAAATAACTCAAGGTAGCAAAAATACCTAATACTTCTTCCTCCTATTTTCCCCACAACAGCAGCCCTGTGAGGTGAGTTGGGCTGAGAGAGAACGACTGACCCAAGTCACCCAACCGGCCTTCATGCCTAAGGTGGAACTAGAACTCCCAGTCTCCTGCTTTCTAGCCTGAAGCCTGAACCACTAGACCAGTGTTTCTCAACCTTGGCAACTTTAAGATGGGTGGACTTCAACTCCCAGAATTCTCCTGCCAGCCTGCTGGCTGAGGGATTCCAGGAGGTGAAATTCACCCACCTTAAAGTTGCCAGGGTTGAGAAACACTGCACTAGATGATTAGTAGAAAATACTACCTTTTCCAAAGCAGGTAATATCACTAAATTTCCCCATCCACAATATTATCTGATTCTTTGGACATTCTGCTCACTCTCCCTGTAGTCACTCCTTGCAGTCATCTAGTCTCTGGGCGTGCAAGTAGGAACAAAAGTGAA